GTCCAACCGTTAACCTAGCAATGCCAGGTCCGTCTCTAAACCACGTCCCTAAGCAACGCACCTGCACGTCTTATAAATACCTCCAGAGATGGTGACTCCATTACCGCCCCGGGCAGCCTGTTCCAGTGCTTGACAACCCTTCCCTGAAGAAAGTTTTCTTAGTATCCAATCTAAACGTTTCCTGATGCGACCTGAGGCCACTTCTTCTCGTCCTATTGCTTCTTATTTGGCTGAACAGACCGGCCCCACCCTCTCTAGAACCTCCTTTCCGTAAGTTGCAGAGTGATAAGGTCTCCCCTCAGCCTCTTTTTCTCCAAGGCTAAACAACCCCACCTCCCTCAGCCGCTCCTCTTAAGATCTGCTCTCTAAACCCCTTTCACGAGTGGCCCAAAACTGAACAGAGGATTCAAGGTACAGCCTCACTAGTGCTAACACAGGGGGATTGTTAGTGCCCTAGTCCTGCTGGCCACACTATCTTTGATACAGATCGGGATGTTCTTGGCCTTCTCGGCCACCTGGGCACACTGCTGACTCATGTTAAGGCAGCTGTGAGCCAACACTCCCAGGTCCTTTTCTGCCAGCCAGCTTCTCTGCTACTCTTCCCCAAGCCTGTGGCATTACTCGGGGTTGTTGTGGCTAAAGTGCAAGACCCAGCATTTGGCCTTATTGAACCTCATACAACTGGCCCTGGCCCATCAATATAGTCTGTCCAGATCCGTCTGCAAGACCTCGCTACCCACAAGCAGATCAACACTTCCACCCAGCTTGGTGTCATCATTCAATCCCTTCTCATTCAGATCATTGATAAAGGTATTAAACAGAACTGGCCCCAAAACTGAGCACTGGGGAACACCAATCGTGACCAGCTGCCAACTGGAGTTAACCCCATTTACCACCACTCTCTATGGGCAGCCATCCAGCCAGTTTTTTACCCAGCAAAGTATATGCTCATCCAAGCCATGAGCAGCCAGTTTCCCAGGAGAATGCTGTGGGAAATGATGTCAAAGTCTTTACTATAAGCAACATCCCCAGCCTCTCCCTCATCCACTAAGTAGGTGACCTTGTCATAGGAGATCAGGTTAGTTTTGATACCTCCAGGGATGGTGACTCCACCACGTCCCTGGGCAGCCTGTTCCAATGCTTGGCAGACCTTTTGGTGAAGAAATTTTTCCTAATATCTTCCCCATTTCCTCTTGTTCTGTCACGTTACCTGGGAGAGGAGACTGACTCCCACCTTGCTACAACCTCCCTTCAGGTAGTTGTAGAGAACAATAAGGTCTCCCTTCGGCCTCCTTTTCCCCAGGCTAAACAACTTCACTTCCCTCAGCTGCTCTTTCTAAGACTAGTTCTCAAGTCCCTTCACCAGCTTCACTGCCCACCCTGCAACCTTCCTACTTCATGCCTGTGCCATGGGCCTGCTGCACATTGCAGGTGTGAAATAATGACCAACCACCACTACACAGAGGGTGGTGGGGATGGATGAAAAAGTAAATATGTATTTCATCCCAAGTTAAAAAGTAAAGTTTTGTTCTTAGCTACCACCATTCATTTCTTAATGAAACCTCGAGACAGAAGAAAGAACCCCTCACTTGTTCAAAACAATTCAAAATGGTACTTCAACAGCTTCAGGTGAGTTCCAGCACAAAAGTGGACAATGTCACTGCCTGTGGGATGTTTCCCGAGTACCGTGCTGCCTTTATGCTAACCTCTCACTGACGAGACAGGTAAGTGGTAACAATACTTCAAAGTGAGCACGGAACGAAGAAAGCCTTTCAGAATTGTTTTTAACCAGCCAGGTTTTCAACAGCTTGGAAAGTAGCCACTGTGGAGGCACTTCTCCCCTGTGAGCAAGTGCTTGCCTGTCCAGCACAGGTTTGCAGTCTCCATTCTTAAATTCTCCTGTTTCAGCTGCAAGAACAGACTGAAGGCTTTCCAATTTTTATTGACAGAATATTAGCCTTCATATACACAAGTTGATAAAATGCCAGAATGCATCTCCAAATGATTTTTCAGAACACTGAATGATAGGCAATAAATAATACCTAAATGAAGAACACTCCCTTTAATTGCTTTAACACCTTCCCAGCTTACATAACAATCTGACAGCCCTTAAAAAGAATATCTCTGTTAGAAATAGCATTACATTTTACCAAACAAAAAAGTAGAAGAAAATTTAGCTTAGTAAAACATTGCACAATGACAAACTCAGGCTACCTTTATGTGGTACACACACTTACAATTCCGAAGCAAACATTTCCAGCAGCTACAGAATCACAGGGCAAGGCTTACTCTGGAGCAATCAGAAGTTGACAAACCTTTTAGTTGTGAATTATGTCAAGTGCATTTTTAGCCATGAGTGCGCTTGTACCAAGTGTGGGTAGAGCCCTTCCCATATCTTCGCTCACGAAGCCTAGCCATGATGCCGATGATGATGTCAAGTGCAAATTAAGTGATTAAAAAAGTGACTGAAATGATGACTACATAAAATATATAGACAAGAATTTTAGCTATCTAAAACCCCCTTTTCGTACGAAGGACCAATATTCATGGAATGGAAAAGTAATAAGGATTCAGTTTCTCGAAGACAGAACTACAGTTTGCAGATCATCCAAATGCTTTACTTTGTATCTGCTATAGTCAAACCACAAAGGTTTTGACTATTTTTTATTAAATGCCTCCAGTAAACGCAGCAGGTGTAAGAACAGATTGATGACGTCCAGGTAGAGATTGACTGCAGCCAGTATGTACTCTTCAGGGGACAATTTGTGCATCAGCAAATGAGTGTCATAAATAATAAATCCACAGAACAGAAGAGCTCCAGCAGCAGCGAACACCAACTCTATTGTCTCACTATAGAAATACAGCTGGAAGAAAATTAAACATGAAAAAAAAATTGTAAAATTTTCTTTTTAACATTAAAATTCCTGCATAATGATATGCCACACTTAAATTACGGATACACTTTTTTTTTTTCTTATATACACACAAATACAATATATGATGACATTTCAATGTACTTATTTCATATAATCCCTAGTCACATGTTCTCCTTAAACCATTAAAAGTACCTTCACTTAAGAGAGAGAGGGAGCTCTGGTCTCCAGAATATTAAAAGTAGAAAAATTAGAAAACCAGAACATGGTTAAAACCTAAATCTCTTTCCCAGTCTCCCAATCAAGTAGTGGATCTCAATATAGCAGTTCTGTCAATCAACTTAAATACCACAAGGAAGAGCATCCAACGAAAATCTGAATTGGCAATGAAGGCTTAAGACATTACCATTGTGATCTACAACAGTAATGGATCTGGTTAGTAATTTTATTTCATTAAGCTAGAGCGGGCTGTCCAAAACCTTTTTGTTATACTAGAATTTAGTAAAATACTTATGTTGAAGAATATTTTTTAGCCTTGAACACAATGTAGCTTACCCTCAAGAAACTTGAGAAGAATAAAATCCACAAACAAGCAAAGAGTCTGAAAAAACAAATAAACTATGAGCAACAACATATTTTCTTCAAAATTTTACTTAAAATCTCTTCCCTTCTTATAAAACCTCTTCACAATACATCTGATGAGAAATGTACACAATTTTTGGATGCCAACCATTCACTGGTAGCAGCAGTAAAACTTGGTTTTATAAAGCTGTCAAAAGCAATGTCCTAACCTTACATTTTAAAAAATATTTGAAGTAACTGCCTTCTGTTTTAGTGAAAAATCCAGGTAAACTAGTTTTCTAGTGTAATATTACGGTTTTAAGAATCGCAAACACAGAAAATAATTTCTTACCAAGAAAGCAGAACTGCACAAAATTATTAATTTAAGATAAACAACACTCTCACCATTCCCTTGAAGTAGGTTCTATTGACCTGCATTCCTCATTATATCTCAAAACTTTACAAAAGGAAAATCTATCTTAAAAAAAAACAATTAAAAGAACATCAATATGACAACATACCCTGCTCCAAATTTGCTGAAGTCTCTCTTTGACTGCAAAGTATATGCAGTCAGTCCAAGAAATACAGCAGTAGTAAGAATAAAGGCTTGCAAGACGATAGATACGTCATACAAACTCACTATAAAAAGCAAAAGTAAATGGTCATTTGAAGAACACTATACTATGTATTTGCTAAGTTATCTTTTGAGGAAGCAGATTTAAAATTTCTCAGACAGGAGAAAAATAATCTTAACTGTGAACAAAAAAGGTAAATTATGCCTGAACTCATGACCAGAGGATGCATGGACCCTTGCACTCTCTCAGTTTGACAGTTACCTTACCCTGTACCTTCTCAAATGTATATAACAAATCTTCTGTACTCACAATAAAAAACTAACAAAACCAACCAACCAAACAAAAAAAAGACAAAAAAGTATATGAGATCTTAAGGAAAATGCTATCTGCATTTTTCATGAGACTGAAACAAGGAAAAAAAAATCAGTCCTCTGTAAAGGCTCATAAAGTTTTGATTAGGGGATAGCAGGAGAAACATAACGGGAAATGAATGGAACCTTTTTCTTCTCCCCTTCCTCCTGAATCTTTGCTTTTACCAAATGACTTTTGCAGGACATCACAAACCACAATGAAGAAGTTTCAGCTTACGCTGGAAGCTACAGTGTCTGCACACTACCCCATTTCAATCCTGACAACACAGTACAGAACTCTCCAAACTCAAATTCCGTTGGAGGAGGCTGAGGGGAAGGATAAGGATATTCCACTTGTAGATGAGCTCTGCTGAGAGCTGCCTTATAGGAAAGAACATTGCTAGCTGTATTGAAAGAATGGATAGCACAACTAATTTCTCATTTCAGGTTTGTGCAGTTTCGCGTCTGGGTCAGAATCCAGTTTTCTCCCTTGATTCTCTGTTTTTTGCTGAACTTAGATCACCTTCATTAAAATTTTCAAATAGAGGATTTATTATCGTTTCAGTTATATCTAGGAATCTTAGATGGCAATTAGTACAATATATTTGATTCCTTTTCCAATTTATTTATGGAATCAGACAATAGGATGGCTACCATTTACCTGCTATGGCAACTGTCAGTGCTTCCAGTAGGGTCTACAAAAAGTAAAAAAAAAAAATAATTACAAGGATTAAAAAAACCCCACAAATCATTTACACAGAGACTTCACATGCAACAAGTCCCATTCTGCTACATAATGCCAGTGTATGTTACATTAGCTGTCTCAATAAATCTTTGGACATGTTTAGGTTTCAAAGGTTTCAACAAGAAGAAGCAATCATACTGTCCTACTGTGCTGGAAGTCATTGTGTTACATAAAAAGAATACAATATAAGCTGAAAGTGAATGAGAGACAGCCCCTATAGAAAAATGTCATTTAGGATTTCTACTCAAAGCACACAGCATTCTTACCACGTTTCTTACAAACTATTCAAGGGGCTATAAAATTAATACATTCTTAATACCTTGTTAGACACCTAAGTGTCTGAATCAACTTCCTCTTCCAACTCGTGTCAGAAGTAACAGAACATTTAACCAATGTTCTGTTCAAAACAATTTATCACTCACAGATTTTGAATCTTTCTATTCCTACACAATATAATACTTAAAATGTCGTATCACAAACTCTCACATCACATTTGGCCAAACTATTACATCACTCCTCTTTATGGCTTGCTCAACCTAATTCCAAGTCCTAACACTCTTCCTAAAAAGATGCTGGAAGGAACCTGAGGTAGAGGCTATCTAGAACAACCTGTGCACAGTATCTCCAAAAAACAACTCAAATCTTTGTAAATATATAGGGTATCATTCAAGGAATGTAAGAAAAAGAAATTAGCCACCGCTAGTTTACTTCGAGGAGTTCATCACAATCAAAGGTATTCTATGAATTATTAAAATTGAATTTATACACTTACGAATCCAAAAAGCAGGTATAAATTAATAGGATGCTGGTGTCTGTAGAAGGTCAGTGCCACAATTACAGCTAAAGATCCAATCGCAGATATCAAGAGCAAGGCAGGCCTGTAAAGTTCCATGCAAAAAAAAAAAAGTCATTAAAATCAAAATAAAATATCTGGAAGGCAAAAACCCACATTATGTAAAACCAGGTTTTTAAGTGATCACATAAAGATACTGCTTAATATATCCACGTTAAATGTAAAGCAAGTTTTACAATAAAATTGCTCTAAAACATACCACCACAGATAGTAAGTTAAAAATAGTACAGGCAAGGGCAGACAATTTTTTCATACCAAAGCTAAAGGCTGCCCAGAAATCCATCAGCTGGAGATTAATCTGTATGAAGAGGAAAATCCATCCGTACTAAACTAACAGTATTACATATACATAATATTTTGCCCATTAAGAAGACCACATTCAGAGAACTGTTTTTGATAAGCAACAAACATGGGCACTAACTGCAGCAAAAAAAATCAGTACTGACCAGTATCGCTATAATTAAAACATTCAAGCAGCCCTTCAAGCAAAAACTGGACCAAAATCAAACACAAAATCGTAACAGTTCTAAGGGAGAAGGATGATTTTTAAATTACCAGATTTAAGTAGAAAATTGTAGTTTTACAACCTCTGTTGTATACCGTGTAGCTTATACAGAAGTTTTTATAGTGTTTAATACTCTGCTTTTATTTGGGCTTTGAAGCGAAAGCAAAGCCTGCCTTGCACTTAGGGGAAAACAGAAATTGGACTCAGTGCTTTCCCTGTTTCTCCAATTGTTCTTTTCCTCTGGAAGTTCACTACAGGACTTTAAGACCTGGGTTCTTTCCTCATTAAAATCTCACAAGCAAAAAAAACCACAAGCCCACAGGAATTTTAGCAACTAGTTTTCAGGAAAAAAAACACAGAATAAGACGGGAGAGGGGAAGGAAGGAGAGGAGTACAATATGATTCAGCTTTTTTTGGAATAGGTACCTACAAATTACAGCATTCTTTACAGATTCTAAAAGTAGATACTTAGACCATGAAACAAGAAATGTCAATAACTGAGATATTCTGCAAGTGATGTATCGGTTTACGTAGTGTAAATATTAAAATAAGCACTATAAATAAACTACTGATTAAAATAAACTTTAGTGATAATAATGCAAATAAAATTTAATGGCAAACCAAGGAGAAAAGTATCAGGAAAGAAAAGTTATTATCAAGCAAAAAAACCTTCTATTAGAGAATCAAAACATAAAAACTGTTAGGAATACTTAAGTGTTCCACAGCAACAAACTACATAAACTATACTTAACACACAATAAACAGCCCCATTTCATTGTAGTATTTACCTTTCATGAACAAATGCCTGCACTCCAGTAGAGTACAGAAAAATTGCTGATGTGACTGTGGTCAAAAGAAGTTGAATGGAAAGAATGCTGTAGACTTTCCTTAGGAAAGCTAGAATAAGGGAAACAAAAATGAAACCGCTTTTGAATGACACTTAAAAAGTCCAAAGGCAAATCAGATATAAGTTTTCTATTGGATAGGTACCACTAGAAACTGTTTATTCTGTGACAAAGCACAGAGCAAAGTGCTAAGAACCCATTTTCCCTTAAAAAACTGTCTCAGTATTGCAGAAAAAAAAATTTATTCCACAGCATTATTTAAACAGCAACAATGACTACAAAAGAAATACAAAAAACATTTGTAAGGAATTTACTTCAGACTATTTTAAAAACAACATACTCCTAATCTTACTAAGAAATTACTAATAACTGACACCAGTTTTAGCATTCGTGCATCTCACGTATCGTGTTTGGGCTTCAAAACGTGTCACTTGGGAAAATCAGGTCTGAATCTATACAGATTTAATTCCTCTGATAAAAATGCCTACCCTCTATACACTTCAGTAATAAAATCCTTCATCGGCCACTGATGAGTACCCTCCCCTTCATGCTTAAACTGCACTAAACACCTAAAGGCTACTCAGTGCCTTCCACTACCCGAAGGGGATCTACAGGAAAGCTGGGGAGGGCCTGTCTACAAGGCCGTGTAGTGATAGGATGAGGGTTAATGGTTTTAAACTAGAGCAGGATTGATTTAGATCAGACACCAGGAAGAAGTTCTGTACTCTGAGGGTGGTGAGACACTGGCACAGGTTGCCCAGAGCGGTGGTGGAGGCCCCATCCCTGGAGACACTCAAGGTCAGGCTGGATGGGGCTCTGAGCAACCTGATCTTGTCAGTGATCTCCCTGCAGCGGGTTAGACCAGGTGACTTTTAAAGCTCTCTTCCAGCCCAACGCATTCTATGATCCAGTATTTCACACCGTGGCTCTCCACTCACTACCCTTTCCCAGAAGTTTACAATACACCGCGCAAAACCTGAATTCAGCTAAAGGCCGCGGGGGATACCGGGTTAACAGAGGGGAACCTGTCCGGAGCACTGGGGTACGGCATCGCCTTGGGCCGCCCGGGGACGGGGGCAGCCGGGGCCCTTCCGCAAGGCCCTGGGGAGAACGATTTGGGGGAGCGGGGTGAAATGGGAG